AAGCAAAATATTACCATATGTCCCCTACTGTGTCCAGTATCATTTTGGACGATAGATCCTCCCAAAGGGAGCAGGTGTTTGCACAGGAAAGAAAGTAATGTACTGCCATATGAACGGATCCAATTTACATGTGATTGTGAAACAATCCATTGTAACAATATCAGCAAGTCTCATTGCCCCAGTGAGATTTTCTAAAACATGACTCATTTGTACTGAGTTCTCCCTTATGTCACTGAGGAAAAGCCATATCTGCTACTGAAACAGTTTTTTTTACTGCCCTGTTTACTGTCATTCACTTTAAAGTGTACCTGAATATTTAATAAACTTTGACTATGTAGGTCTATGGTAACTATTGCGGAGTTTGGTGAACGTGTACGACTTTAACATAACCCGCTTGCAAGCTGTTTAATCAAAATCACTGTTGACAACCCAACACTGACATCATGGCTTCATTTCAAGACATCATTTGTCACAAACAAAAAGACATGCTTACAAAATGTTTATGTAGGTTTTATGACAGAGTGCACCGGGGTGAAACGCCATCTGCTTCTGTCAAGTTTTATTTCTCGTGCGATTCCAGAAATATGCCACAAACACCGTATCATCCCCCTAGGCAGAACGTGAACATATCGCCACCGGATGGGTTCACGGTGCAGTCAGAGCTGGCACAGACCGCTTGATCATTTATTTCTATTATTTATCACATCTCAAAGAACGGTATTGTGCAAATCAAAGTCAAAAATGTCAATGCAAGAGTCAACTGTGGCAGTCTGATCAGTTGGCGATGTGTGAAACATGTCCCAGATGGCTCGCATATGCATGGGGTTTGTGCACGCTGAATACTTTTCTGACAAGTCAGGGCTGAGATATGATACAACCAATAAACAGAGCTCACATAAGCTCTCCACTCTTGCTCCTGACAGACCTCAGGGATATCAGAGTACTTTTGTGTTGACTCTAAATCAGGGGTGCCCAATGCTGTTCGTGAAGATTGACCTTCCTGTTCAGTGCCAGCCCTTCTCTAACAAACCTGTCTGTGATTATTAAAGGTCCCAGGAGATCTTAATTGGCTGGTTCAGGTGTGTTTGCATAGGGTTAGAGCTGAACTTTGCAGGAAGGTAGATCTCCAGGATTGGGCATCCTGGTTCTAGTACAGTGGTTTCCATCCTGAATCAGATCCTCAGCTCATTAGTAGAGAGTCGAAGACCTGAAATGGAAATGTTGGGGCTCCAGGAACGAGGTTAGGAACCACAGCACTAGAATGTGTGTGTACTGTATGTCCCTTACAGAACAATACTGTGACAGGACCATGGTACTGTTATGGTATCAGATGGTAGGTAATACAGTGGTTCTTTGACCAACAAAACATCATAGTACGATTGTGTATGCTCAAAACAGTGGTAGTACCATGGTACATGTCCAAAAAACTGCAGTAAATATGTTTTATCAGGTGTTCTCTGTATCCATGCACAGTGCAAGTTTAATGTAATGGGAAAAGCATTGTCAAGAATAAGTCTTTGAAACTGTATTTGGGGAATAACCTCCTTGTATGTTTACATTACTGCTCTTCCCCCCGCCTAATTTATTGCATCCACATTGCATTGAGAAAAGAAGTCCAATCTGAGACAATAAAGATCTGTTGCCTTCTTCCCCTCTTCTTCCCCTCCATGTTTCCTCTGTTATTTATTTCCAGCATCACACATCTCTTCTTCCATTAAGGATGCATCTTTGTGTTTTATGGCTGCATGTGTCACCGAAAGGTTCTTCATTCAGGAAGTGAACTAAGAAGAAAGGACTTCTTGTTTTATGCTAAATCATACTCTAAAAGTAGAACGCTGTTATGATGATGACCACATTGTGGTGAACAGTGTTTTTTTGGAACAGCGCTCCTCCAAAACGGTTGCGCAAGACTGGTGAAACAAAACGCAATCTTCTGCATCTTGAAAATATTCGCCTCTGACAACATAAACAGACAAGCATCTCATCGGACGTGAGAATGAACTACAAGGACTTGTTTGCATATTGTGCGCACCTGGGGACGAGCACATGAAGTGATGCGTGGCTCCCAGGGGAGTTGAAGGATATCAGCTTTGACTCAGTGACATGAAGATGGGCCCTTATTCACAATCAGAGGCCAGAAGCGAGCAGTTTGAGGACAGGTCTGAGCCCACTAATGAAAAGCACATGTGCTTCACAAGACTCTCTGGCTATTCCCAGCTCATCTGCCTGGCCCACACCCTTCATTCTCTCTGCATTCAGCCCTCGCTCCCTTTCAAGTCTGAAACAAACTGGATCCTCTCACTGAGACAACATAGAAAAGCATGTGGAAAGCAAAACCTGACATACTGTCTTAGGGTTGTGCTGCTCTGGTTTCTGTACAGATCAAAACAAAGTCTGCTTTTGAGATCAGGTGACTAAATAAAATGCAGCTGCCTGTTTAGCCATTGCAGAATTAATCCAATAAATTCAATGTGAAAAGTCTTGTGAGTCAAATCTTTTCTCGTCACCTCCAATCTAGCCATGATGTTTATGAGATCGATCTCACGCACACGAAGAAAAATGTCCACAGTCTCACGACATGCAAGCTAACCGTTTGTGACAAGAAGTTGCCCAACATTTGTGCAAAATAAGGCTTTTTGTGCGGAGTTGGCAGCGACAAGCGACACAGAATCCACCTTTGCTTCAGGTGCCGGGACTAGCAGATAATTTCCAAAAGTCCTCCCCAAATTCAACAGCTCATCACAGCAATGATGACAGGCCTCACAATTAGCTTTGTTTTACAAGGGCTCGCTTGAGACAAGCTCGTAACTCACATCACTTGTCTCAGCCATCACCTTGCTTTAATTAAACACCAGGTATCTTTTCGCAGTCGAGGTGTTCATAGGGGTGGCCAGTTTAGATATTTTTCAATGCTGTTTGCGATGGTTTATAAGGGATCCTTATAAAAATGTATTGTGTACAAGGAGACTTGGGTACAGCTATAAACCACGGTGTTGTGCTATCAGGCATTTTAATCATATACACATACTTTGACTTTTGATAGCAAATACTATGCCATTATAAAATGGTTATGACTTCTTACAGTAGAGCAGATGTCTTACAGTAGAGCAGATGATGAGGGGAAGCAAACGGTTTTCATAAATTTTGTAATCTATGCTATAAAGCAGGGTTCCTCAAATCTTGCCCTGGAGGTCCAATGCGCTGCAGAGTTTAGCTCCAACCCTGCTTCTATTTCTGTATATAGTACATTATTCAATTTTTTTTTTTTTTTATTATATTCGTTTTATATTACATCCCTACTGTGTTATTCCTATGTATGTCTACACTATCATGTATGTCTGCACTATGTTTGTACTTTCTTCTACACTGGAAGCTCCTGTCGTCAAGTCAAATTCCTTGTGTGTGTAAACATACTTGGTAATAAAGCTCTTCTGATTCTGATTTCAGTGTATTTAAGGAAAACATTTTATCAGTGGCACTTACCACAAATAGATGTCTAAATACTAAAATAAAAAGTAATAAATATATTTAGCATTAATACATATACTATGCTGATTTGTCCACCAGAATAAAGTAAATATTACAGGATCTTAAAAAAATGTTTAAAATATTTTCCAATCTCACTCCGTTCTGGCTGCCGAGTATTGTATGCGCTTATCGCCCACAATGATAGCTACTCTACAGAGCCCGCTTTAGCTTCCTAGCCCAGCCCAGCCCAGCCTAGTCTTGCCTTGTCTGTTTTCTCGGTTTTTGATCTGTGCCTGTTTTCTAGGATTTATCCCTTTAGTCTCGCCCTTGTGATCCTGTTCGCCAATCGTTGACCTACACTAGCCCTAGCACTATTCTTGTGTCTTGCCCGCCATATACCTGTTTGCCACCGTTTGACCCTGCCTGTGTTTCTGACCTCCTCTGATGTTAATAAAGCTTGCAGATGGATCCGCACGTCTCACGTCTTGTCAGCCCCGTAACAGTATGTGTCTCTTTAAATGTACATTAACCTTAATTTTGCCATCTTAGAGGGCCAAAGACGTATAGGACATTTGAAAAATATGCATGTAATGTTCTGAAGCTGGCAACCTGTAACTTCTCAGTGGTTAGTTTGTGAAGGGTTGGATAGGAGACCTGGGAATGCTTATTCTTAGTTAATGAACAGTTTTGAGTTAGACCTTAAGAATTTTACACTTGATAGAATTTGATTGTACTTAAAATGGGTTTAAGATTGGGGACCATCACAAAGAGTTTAGTATGCAGTCTCTTTATTCTGGAAGTTTTTTTTATACAATTGAGGGATAGATGGACCTAACAACCAATCAAAGCCACCAGCTGTGGTTTCTATGGCAACCCTCAGACCAATGGCATGAGCTCAATCTTTTTTAAAGAGCACTTCTTTGGAGGAGGGCTACAAATAACAACAATGATTGACTGCTTTATTATTTATGCTACTATAATCGTGTTGTCTCTTTGGGTATAGTGTTATGGCATGTAAATTTAGAGAGCATGGGATTTGTCTGCTGTCATTGTGGTTTGTTTGTTGGTGGTCAAGATCACTGCATACCAGAAACAAAATCCAGTCGCATGATGTCATAAACAGACTGTGTTCATCAAATAAATCACCAATCCTATCACTTCATGCAAACCCTCAGAACCCAAGACATTGCTCGAGTCATGCTCTACACTATAATGTTCTATAATAATGACCAAACTATTTTGTTATTTTGCGTGGAATGATCTACACACATTTATTTTGATTGTTACTGTTGCAATGCACATTTGCTTTATTCATATGGATGTGATTTGCAGTGTGTAATTTTCTTAGATTCACCTGTGGATAGAGGCACAAGCTGACAGATTGAATATCAATAAATCTATTCTAATACTGCAGTCATAACTATAGTTTCGAGTTGCCCGGCTGCATGTGTCTGTTTACTTATGATGGATTCTTAACATTCTAAAACAAAGTTACCATGATCCAGTAAGAATGTGCAGAGTTTATTTATTTATTTTTTAGTTTGGGAACATGCTAAATCTGAGCATTGGAATTGAAGTATAGTAACATGTGTAAGAGTACTACAGTCTCGTGCTTAGATCGAAGAGTCATCCGTTTAAATATAGGATCATGACTGAATAAATGAACACACAAGCGACAGGGAGTGTGTGCAGCTGGGTGGTTAATGAATGAATGACTGATAGAATTCTGTGCAAATCTGTGCCAGCAGGGCTCTGCAGAAAGACACGCAGATTTGCATGCATCCACGGCCTGAATGAAATACAGGAACACACAGCCACGAGCCATTCTGAATTTGGCCAACTGAATTGCAGGGACCGAGCCTATTCAGACACTGCCTTACAGCCAATCTAATCTCAAATGCGTTTATTCGTCTTATCTGCGGACTGCGTTCATGCTAGGTCATGTGTTGCGCATCAGCTAGATGTGAGGCCTGGGGTCTGAACGTGTCTGCTTCCCTCAGAACTGCTAAGCATTTTTACCTCAAAGATGAAAAGCGAAAGATTAGACAATTATCTCCTGCTTCGCTCCAACAAACGCAGCCAAAGACAACTTCCACTGCAAAATCTGATATCGGGGAGTTTATAAGCTCTTTCAGAGTGAAAAGGTCTTTCTCAGAGGAGCCAGTGAGCTGCTCCAAAGTTTATCGAGCCTGGCTATATTTGTTTAATTCCTTATCTCTCCAAACATGTCGCTGGAATCAGCACTGCTTTAGGAAATTCAATTATACCCGAACGGTGCTAATGCACCAATAGTGCTCGGTTTGACAGAGAAAGCAACAATATTTATATTATGGTATCAGAATGAGTCCAGTTGCACTTGGTAGGCGCCAAGATTTCCACTTATTGTATTGTGCGTGTTCCAATAACACATTCAGCACTGCTGCCCCATTGTTTGAGTAGTACTGATGTAAGTTTACACTCATTAAATCAGCTCGTGGACAAGGGTGCTGGGATGAAAACGATCAGGTCGCCCACTCATTTCACCAAAAAAGGATATTCCATGGCAAAACCATTTCACACCAGATATTGTAGTATGCTTATACTGATGAGCTTTGGGCACTGGGACTAATGCTCTATTGAGATTTCTTATTTGAATCATTGCCAAAATTCTCAGTGTGCTTACCTGGTTTAGGAGGTTTTCAACCAGCTCCTAATAAGGGGGCGCTTTTTGGTAATTGTTTGTTTGAGTGAATTTCTTCCAGTGCCAATTCATTTGTATAATTTTTGGTAATACTGATAGCATTTGTTTGGGTTTGTTTTCAAAATAAATGAACACTTTTTTAAATCAAGGAATTGTTACAAATATTTCTATTTCAAATAAATGTTGCTCTTTTGAACTTTCTATTCATCTGTGAATTCTGAAAAATAAAATGTGTCACGGTTTCCATAAAAACATTCAGCAGCACAACTGTTAATAATCAATGAAAAGAAATGTTTCTTGAGCAGCACATCAGCATATTATACTGATTTCTGAAGATCATGTGGCACTGAAGACTGGAGTAATGATGCTGAAAATACAGCTTTGATCAAAGGAATCAATTGCATATTAACATTCACTGAATTCACATTCAGACACCCCCTTTTTTGAAGGTTAGTGATACAAATTTCATGACATTACACTGGCATGCTACATTTTATATTTGTAATTGCTGTGAAAAGGGACATCTTTTTATTGCTTTGCTAATTAAGTAAATGCATGCAAACGAATTTAACTAGTATGGATGACCTTGAAGGGCTCTTACCAGCTCCATAACCTCCAGCCCCTAAAGCTCCTGTCTGAGTCCCAGCAGCACCTCCATATCCTCCTGCTGAACAAGAGATTGCTTCATTAGCATCCGTCTCACGCTCATAACATGCTTTATCTGAGTCCACACGAGCAGCATGCTTTCAACTTCCTCACAGCATTTGCACATGGCGAGATGTGACTTCGCCAACTGCCACACAAATGGACTTTGACTTTTATGGCAGTTTTATAAGTAATGACAGCTCACCCCCCACCCAGTTCTCAACAAAAACAAAGCAATTTAACAATTCATTGTTGACTCTTGCCTTAATATACTGTAGGTATATCCATGTGGGTTTACAGTGATTTTGAATTTAAAGGACATAATTTAGAAAAACAATATTCTAATTTAAGGAGGATTGGAACAAGGTGCTTCTACTGCAGCCAAACACATTCATGAATCTGGCTGATTGATCATTGGGCTCTTTGGATGGTTGGCTGGTTGATTGAATTAATGAATAGGTGAGTAAAGGAGCAGATGATAAAATGAGTCAGTGAGGTCTGAAGGATGGGAAACAATACATGATTCTGGTCTCAGTGGTCTCAAATCACTTCTAGAGTGTTTATGGTCAAAGCAAAATGATCTTACCTGCTGCTTTTGCTGCTTTGTATTGGGACGTCCCAGCACCTGTTAAAACCAGTACGAGTTAGAGCCCTGTCAGTGCAGATGAGTTCACATCTTGTCAAGTGTAAGATGAAGATGGTTCAGCTTTACTCTCAGACACCACAAAGCGTGTGAAATGCATCTAGTCTTTGGAAGACTTTCAAGAGTTTTATTGAGACTAGCAAGTAAACAAGATATTCACTTTCAAGTGTGCATAACGTGAGTAGCATCAGATTGTTGTATGTGAAATCCATTCCGAGCTCTGACTGAAATCAACTGTCATGGCCAGTGTCATTACTTCATTTGGCATGGCTGTAGTTGGTTATACCTGGGTAAAATCCAGCACCTGGTAACAATCCAGCACCTCCTGGTCCTGCTCCAGCTGAACCCGGTGGCACATACACCCCTGAAACAGAAAAACATGCGTCGTCAGGATCTGTCTTTCATGTTTCCCAACCCCAACCCTAACAGACACGCAAGGAGAAGAATTCAGACAAAAGCCACGTCTCTGAGGAAATCTGATTCTGAAGGCCTTGAAAGGCATTTCTCTGGACATCTAGCTGATGTCAGTCACTCCTCATGAGTTCGGGAATCGCACACGGCCTTCAAGTGAAGTCTTTGAAATGAACTCATTTTCATTTCACATTTTTTTCTCAATTGTTTTCTTCCCTGACAAAACAGGATGCTTTAAAGCGCTAATGTGTGGCGTTATGTGTGAAACTGATGCTTTGTCATCCTTGTGCTGCAACAAAGGATGATATAGTGGATGTAGTTGTAGCACAAGCCTTATAAACCAGCTAAATGAGTGGTATTTTACATTCATGCATTAAGCAGATGCATTTATCCAAAGCCACTTACAAAAAAGGAACGAAACAATTCGTCAAAGAGCCAACAATATTTGTATGCAATGTCAGGATCATTAGACAATTAGATTAGAAAGCAAGCTAGAGAAGAGGAGAAATGCTTAGAGAAAAACCGAGTGCATGCATGTAAGCTGGTTAACTGCTTGTGGAAAGTGCTTTTTCCTGAAAGCTTTGTCCTTATTTTTCATCTGCAGTATACTAAATGTGTACACACTAAATGCTATGCACATTCAACTTAATCACAAACTTATTTTGATTGTGAAACAAATTTGTTAACCTGAACTAATCAAGTGCTTCGTAAATGAGAAATCACAAACCCCTAGAGGTTCATGATGGAACTGCGTCCCTGTCAAAAACAAATACAGACTTTACCTGCAAATACATGAATGAGTTTGTATTTATTGTTCACTATATTTATTGAAATATTAATAACAAAAGATAGCAATTTTGTGATGTCATGACTGTTTGTTTGTTTGTTTGTTTTGGAAAAGCACTACAGTATTTCCATGTATTCTTTCATGGAAAGGTTAGTCTCATGTCGTGGGCTACAGTGCATGGGCTCAGGAAAGGCTCACAATGGGTGGGCCGGAGGGTACAATGCTTTACGACTGCTAACAGCCTCCCAGGAGGTCTTGTTAGCCCAGGCATCAATTATGAAGTTACATTTCGAAGCCAGACCCGGTTTGCATCACAAAATTGTGATGGAGAATGTGAACAGACCCTCCAATGACAAAGATTTTTAATAGCTTTTGCATGTTCCTCGAAGGCCATTTAACCAAATCCATATGTCCCAGCTTCTTTGGTGTTTATTAGCAGCAATGCAGTAAGCATGGAATTTTATTATGCAGTTGCACGAATACCCTGTCATTATTCAGTAAAGGATTATACATGCTCTATTTTCATTATTATTATTATTTTGGGGCCTGCAAAAAAAATAAAAAGCCACTCAAGACCAGTGTTCTCATGTGAAAGAGAAAGCCACACATGGGAAGAATCACTCACAGTCGGCAGATCAGAGATTAAAACTACAAGAGCAAGCTGTGAACTGCCCTGGCATTGACTTGCAGATGAGGCAGTGAAGAAATGGAACAACGATCTTTAATAAGCTAGTGGAAAGTTCACTTCACACGCTTTGCAAGTACAGAACATTATCTCACAGGTACATAACATGATTAGGGGTGATAAATGTTTAGTCTGAGGCAGGCTACACTTTTGCTGTTGGACAAAAAAAAACCTTCAGCTTACAAGTTGGGTTTTCATTTACTTTCAAATTGGTGCAAGTTTTCTGAAAGAAGCTTGAATGAAATGATTAAATTTGTGTGCTGCATGTGTCTTTATGACTTACTGCTGATATCAGTAACAGTAAACTGTACTTTATCACATTATTTCGAAGACTTCACTATTTATAGTGTGTAATGCAGTAGAAAATCATTTTAAATGCTAACATCAGTCAATTTGGCATCTGCAATCAGCTGTCTATCTTAATAACATTAATATTCATAGAGGTAAAATGCAATGATATCACAAGAAATTCATATTATCCTTTCATGTTATATGAACTTACTATGCTGGTATGAAATCATCTAGGTCTTTAGGGATAGCAAATCAATATTGGACATTTTCAATGATTGCTACTGTATTGGAATTTTCCTGAGATTTTCAGGCAAATTAAATTGTTTCCTTAAAATGACTCAAAAGAAATGGATGGTAAATGATTGAATTTTCCATTCAATAAAATAACATTTAGGTATCAAGGAATTATTCTTAATTAAATTTTTTTTTTAAAGACAACGTTTAACAACGCTTTATTTATACAGTAGTCTGTGATAATGTGTGCATATACAATCCAGTGGTATGTTTCTGTTAAAACTACACATTTAATTCCCTTTACAGTGGAAATGTTGCTGTTTAAAGTCAGGTAAAGTTATCTGAAGAATTAGCGTCTAATGTAAGTGAAGCACACACATGCGTGTCAGACAATGAGTGCGGTGGAACATTTGAGCGAACGGATGACGTGATACTGATCTGCACTGAAAACATCACCACCTTTCGGCCGATTGGTGAGCGCAGAGTGAAGCTCCGCCCTCTGAACACACTCTGGACAGGAAGTGTCCGATCACTACGGTAACCATGTCACAGCCTCGTATCAGCATCAGACAGAGGATTTCCTGTCTCCGTGTGAGTGGTGAGAGCAGAGTTGTTCTCAGATACCTGTCTGCAACAAGCTGCTAGCGTCTACAGCGAGTCGGCCGTCCTCAGTGACCGCTGCGGTACAGCCTCATCTGAACCTCTCTCAGAGGAAACCAGAATTACCACATGATCAAATGCAAATATGCTTTAAGTACGCTGTTTAAATGTACCTTTTGCTGATTAACTGAAGATGTAGACAAACACAGCTCATATTTTCCACTTTGTCAAGTGCTTAAATCAGTCCAGTAGCTCCTTATATTTAGTCAGTCATGCTTTGCTTTACGTCCAATAGTTAATGACTTTAGCCGTACTTATTGCGTTCAGTGCTTTCGTGCAGTTGAACAAAAAGCTATTATGAATGCTTGTACAAATCTGAGCTACCAGTAGATCTAGAAGTTGGCATCAGGACAGTTTTGTGTTTAAAGAAGAAAAAGCGTGATATATATGACGGCAGTCATAGTCCAGTGCAACTGCTGTTTTGCCTTCTCATTAAGGCCCTTCATAAAGGTACAGATTTATTAAGGAATCTCTGATGAAACGCTGTGATTTTTGGGACATCTACATAATATCAGTAACGTAATTCATAAGGTTATAAATGTAATAAAGCTTTGAATGGTGGCTTAATTGACGCACAGGGAATCATTAAGGCTGTTTTGGTGACTTGTTTGGCAAATAAATGACTGGTATTAAATTCACACGTTCTCTATGTGGGACGACTTGATTCCCCTCCAGGTCATGGCTAATTAACACATTAATGAAGGCATGACTCAGAGCACCACGCTCCATTGCAAATGATTGACAGTTTCAGCTTACAGCGTTGCTTGGAACATATTAGTTTGTTGATGAGAATGTTTCTTCTATTTATTTAATACTTTCTTAAGTCTTAAAAAAGCTGTAAGGCCAATTAAAGGGAGTAGTTATGAAAGAGCAGTTAGGAATTTTGCAACACCGTTGCAGTTGTGCATGCAATAAATCATGCTGACATGTGAAATCATGCACCTTTACTTATTTACTAATTCCTTTATTTAAATGTGATACTGCGTCAAAGCTGAAATCTGAAAGAGATTTGACATGACTAACTGATTAAATACTGACATTTTAAAAACGGATTCAAACAGATAAAAAGTCATAGCAGACAGAAGCATGAAAATTACACTGTGACACAAATAAACACTTATTTTGAACTTCTCTGTTCATAGTGACTTCTGCATGCAGAATCTAGACAATCACTACAATTGATCAGTTTCAATTGTAGTGATTGTCTACAATTGAAACTGATCAATTCAAATGATTTAGTAAAAAAATCCAAACTTGTGATTGATCATGTAAGTACATACAGTATAAAGTGTCTATTTATTTAATACTTTCTTAAGTCTTAAAAAAGCTGTAAGGCCAATTAAAGGGAGTAGTTATGAAAGAGCAGTTAGGAATTTTGCAACACCGTTGCAGTTGTGCATGCAATAAATCATGCTGACATGTGAAATCATGCACCTTTACTTATTTACTAATTCCTTTATTTAAATGTGATACTGCGTCAAAGCTGAAATCTGAAAGAGATTTGACATGACTAACTGATTAAATACTGACATTTTAAAAACTGATTCAAACAGATAAAAAGTCATAGCAGACAGAAGCATGAAAATTACACTGTGACACAAATAAACACTTATTTTGAACTTCTCTGTTCATAGTGACTTCTGCTGCAGTGCCTGGGGGGCAGTTGGGGGTTCGGTGCCTTGCTCACGGGCACCTCAGTCGTGGTATTGAAGTACATTCACTCCCCCCACCTACAATCCCTGCCGGTATGTGCTCATTTACAGGGTTTGCAGCTTATACTGTATGTACTTACATGATCAATTAGGTGTTGCAAAATGTGAGCCTGACGCACTGAGGATTTTGTTGTTGTTGTTGTTAATCATTAAATGTACTGATTGCGTAGCTTTATTTACATTAATGATTTTGAACTCAAGGACTGCACGCTTTGCTGAGCATGTGGTAGGTGAACCTACATTTTGTCAGATCTTGACACTAGATTTCCATTTTGAAGAAAATAAAAAGGAGGATGATGAACGGCTGAAGGATGTGAGCCTGAGAATTAGAAAAGTAAATCTCTGTGATGAGAAACACCCTTCCCTGCTTTTCTTCTCCTGGACACGAGCCGAGCTGCAGTGCGGAGACAGCGTTAACTTTGAGGAATGTAAAGGCAAATAAACATATGATGCACCGACTGTCCTCCATTCTTCAAGTCGCTTGAAAGTCAAGATGGAAGTCTGATTTGCTTCTATTCTCTCTTGGTTGAGAAGGTAAACGATACAGACAGAAATAGGCGCTCCCTTTTCTTTTTCCATATATC